TCGTGAAGATGTCCTACAGCGCTTGACAATTCTGGAAGGGCACTGGAACTGAGGAAGGTGAGGAGTGGAAAGATGACCTAAAACATAGTCAGAGAGGTGCATTTTGAGATGTCACTTGGAAGAGGGCAGCAAGTTGGAGGGACCTGAGAATGGAGTTCCAGAGAGTGGGCGGTGAGTGGTTGAAAACCTCTCCACTTAATGTGGGGTGGATAGACTAAGGGACTTGGACTTGCTATCGACCAGGTGAAGGGAACAGATGGGTAGGTACTGGTGAAGGAGGTTGTGGAGGTGATAGGGGGGGGAGACCATGGAGAGATTTATATGTGAGATCAAGGATCTTGAACTCGTCAGTGGAGCTTAGTGAGGATGGAATGACCAATAAGTGTGTATATGGGTAGGGACCGCACACCAAGGCTCTGGACCAGCTGTGAAAGGTGGAGTGTGAATTCATGGAGCTGGATGCTGTCAGCACATGTGGGTGAGAAAGATGTTAATTTTCTGATGAGATCAAATTGAAATACATGATAGTAACTGTGGCAAGGAACACGGAAGATTATAGGACGACCTAGATTCCTCAGTACAGCAGCCAAAGAATTGGTAAATGTGATCCAATCCAGACAAATCCAAAGATCTTCTCAAAATGTATTACAGAGGAGTATTTTTCAGCAGATACCCGTTTGGCAGATGCACACCTAAATCTATAGCATGTAATATAAAGTGATTATTTTTTTAAAGTCATGTGCCTCGAAGCACCAAAACCTTTAATTCTGTCATTAGTTAACTGACAAATCTACTGGATATAAAAGATAACACTGGTTTCCCTACTTGTGTGAACTTTTCGTACCGAATCAATTTATTGCAAACAACAACAAATTACATTTATATAGTGCCTTTCATGCCAGAAGGATGTCCCACGTGCTGGAAGGTTAAAAAAAGGTTATACAAACCACTTTCCTTACCTCAGCAGAATATAAATCTTCAGACTTGAGAAATATGGCTTTATTGAAAGAAAAGTTAGGGGGAACTTTAGACTTAGAACTGCTGTTTCTTTGATATTATTGAAATTTTTTTTTAGTACAACTATTTCACAGTAGGTTTCATCTGCCAAGGAAGGGAGAAAGACAGAAAAGGAAAATTGCCTCTTCTACCTATCCCCCCACAATATATACAGTCAATTCACTTTACAGTATATTCTGTGAAGCGCTTCGAGACATCTAGAAGACGTGATAAGGCACTGTATCAAATGCAAGGATTATTATTATTATTCTATTTTTCAAAATTGATGCCTACAACAAAAGGAAAGGTTTGTACCACCATTTGCTTTTCTATTGAGTCATGCTTTAGCATATTCAAGTATGCTAAAGATACTTCAAATAGATACTTGTATACTTTCAGTGGCTGCTTTTTCTTGTGAAACATTGTAATTCATATCTTTACAGCAATGCCGTTTAAGGTTATTTAATACATTGTTTGTAAAGATAAAAATACTTTCACTTAATGTTTACATACTTGGTCCACAGCAAATTAAGTTTGATGTATTGTTAAATATCAATAGTCAGCAACTCTCTTGACCTAATTGTAATTTTCTTATACATTTATAATTAGTAAAAATGTTTCACCGTGACTTTTTAAAAAAAATGGATTCTAAATAGAAGAAAGACATGCCACAATTAGCAGATGAACACAGAAGTTCTCCCTTTAATACTTTTGTAATTGTAGATTGTCTACATTGGGTCAATATAGAATAAGGTAACAAAGAGCAACCTGGAATTGAAATTATTTTGTGCACATTTTACAGATTACCGGCACAAGATGACAAAGAGTAAACTTGTATCTCTTTGAAGATGCTGAAACATACCTGAATGCAAATGCTGTGGGGGTAGGGGAGTGGGGAAAAGAAGTGGATATCTTTTTGTTGTAGGCATCAATATTGGAAATTATGATAGATGGAAAAGGCAATTAGCTTTTCAGCTGAGCGAACTGTTTCACGTACAGCATAAATAGTTGTAGTCTATTAGCTAGAAAAGTTTGGCTGCCAGGGTTCTTCACTAAGAGAGCCTGTGGGCAGTGTGGTAGTTTGTTGGTAGTTGTTACTTATGAGAAAATGCGAGCGTGTGTGGTGTGTAGTGCTGAATCCTGGTTAATGCAGTTGCTCCATTAACTACATATGTGGGCCTGGCTTGATTGCTTTCCACGCTGCTTCTTGCACAAAAATAGTCAATTTAATAATAATAATTATCCTTGCATTTGATAAAGCTCTTTACACGTCTTCTAGACGTCTCAAAGCGCTTCACAGAACATACTGTAAAGTGAATTGACTGTATATTTATGGGCGAAACATGGCAGCCAATTGCGCACAGCAGTGTCCCACAAACAGTCATGGACTGAAGCGACCAATTTATTATTGTTTTTTTCTTGAGGGATTATTATCAGGAGTGTGGAATAAGGAAACTTGTCCAAGATTTTGCCCTGCCGGGAATCAAACCCAGGTCTCTTAACTTGCAAGACAAGTGCTCTCCAGGTCATTGGAATGCTGCTTTGGGCATGCCTCACACACACACACACACACACATACACACACACACACACACACACACACACACACATACACACACACACACACACAGAGGGAATGATGGTGACAATCTGATGACCTGAAAGTTGGCCTTTTTATTAGCGTGGAAAGCAAGATGTGCAGCTTGGTGCATGTGTGCAATGAAACTGACTATTATTGCGTTCTTCGGACTTGAATTGAAATTTTATGGCCCAAACGGCTGTTTTGTAATGGGACACCACAGTATGCACCTGTATATAGACATTGATATAAATAGTAAGAAGTAATTAATCACTTAATCCTTACTTGCAGTTGATAGTTATTGTTTTCGTTTTGCTGTAACACTGAGGCAATAAGTTGTAGTGCCCACACATGAGTCTTTCTGAGGAAAGGGCACATAGGGTCAGTACTGTAACAGCGCAGGTGTGTGCCATTGAGCTTCATAGCGGTATGACTCATTATCCATAGAGGAGAGTTATCTAAGTAGGTGAGTGTTATGACATTATCATCAGTCCGTACAAAAAAAAACTCAAAAGATTAACTGCTCTAACAGTGGAATATGTTCAACAGACTGGGACTGAGCTCCAATGTGCAACTTGAAGCTGTAATGTATTGGACTTTATTTTTAATAATAAAGTATTGCAAATGTTATGGATATACCAGTGAGAATTATAAATGTGGACATGTCACAACTGGCAATGACAGGGAATAAATATCCCACATGAGTCTTGAAAAATAAATATCTCCCTCGTATCTCCTCACTTCCTTTATCATAATTAAAATTCGAAACCGATTTGTTTTTGGAGCAGGGTGGAAATTGAAAGTGCACCTCTGCAGTTCCCAGGTTGAACATTTGTGAGAAAGTTTGCACTCTTTTTATAGCAGCCTGAGATGGAGATTCCGTCTATTAGTTGTACATTAGCTTCCATCATATGGAATGAAACCATATTAAACTATATTGCAGCAATAAGCTTGTTCTTTAATTTTGTCATAAAAACAGCACCTAGGGCCTTCTGTATAATATTTAGTGGTTTGTGGGAAAATTGTGTTATTAAGCTTGATATTATCCTCGCAATTTATATAACGGCTTTTCACATTGGGAGGACATCTTGAAGCGCTTCACAGGATTTTACCGTAAAATGTAATTACTATATATTTTGTAGTCAAAACACAGCAGTATGCGCACAGTCGCGTCCCACACACAACCATGACCATTTTTTTGTTTGGAGAATTGTTGACCAGGACACTGGGAGAAACTCCCTTTTCAAATAATACAGAAACACGGGATCTTCAACAAGCATTTGAGAAGGCATACTGGACCTTATTTCTTTTTAATGTCTTGTCCAAAGGATAGCACCTCCGACAATGCAATGCACCCCAAGCACTGCACTGGAACATCAGCCTAGATTGTGAGTTCAAAGTCCTAACATGGGCTTGAACCCACAACCTTCTGACTCTGAGGCAAGGGTGCGACCCCCTGAGCCAGCATTCAGGAGCAAATAAAGTTTATACTTAATGAGTTACAAAAATTTGAGGCATTCAGCAACATTATCATTGAAAGGTGATAGGAATGGCAAGGGACACACTTGATAAATATGAACCTTATTTGTGGAACAAGAAAGAGCGCTAAATAAAGCCACTTTAATTTGTTAATACCACAAGTGTATAATCGAAAATGTAATTTTTATATCATAGTCGCTTACGCCCTGTAACAAATTAACCTGTAACAAATTAACCGAACAGTAAATCTCATTCCTTGACACTTTGATATGGTGCTCTGAATTTCCATTATACAATTCACATTAAGCCATGCTGTGCTGCTTCATAATGCCAGATCAATCTGTCGGTGGCTGGTGAGAGGATCTGTATCTTGTGGAGAAGCTTTAAGCAGAGGAAGTGAACATTTACTGCAAGGTTAACCTGTTAGACGGTATAACAGATCTTTAGAGTTGAATGCTAGTAATTTTGAACATGGCATTTCATTTGTACATCTAGGTGGTGAGGTACCTTGGCATGTGAACGCAGTGTGCAGCTAGACAATGGTAAAGTGTAGGTTTTGCACCAGTATCTCCCAATTGAGCCATTGTGTGGAGATGCTGAACAGATGATGTATTTTCCTTCAAGGGAGGGAAAATTGGACAGAATAAATCCACTGTGTTGTTCAGAGTGTCATTGGCAAAGACCTTGAAGCAGGTCACCAGCTGTTCTCCCTGACTAGGAATAGTGTGGAAGAGGAATAATAAGAAGAGTAAAAATTAAAACTAAATTGACTCCCATTTATCAGATTGCTGTTTTTAAGCTAACTAAATTCAGTTGATTGTGAATTAAATACTTTGTGAATAACTTTTTTTCTGAAGAAAATACCCTTCCAAATCAAACTGTTGTTGCCTCAGCAATATTCCCCTCAAGTTAATGGACTCTACAATATAAGTGTTTTGTTTTCAAGGTGCCTAACCAGAGAAGCAATCCCCATCAGCCAGCCTCTTCACACCTAGATGGCTCCTACCTTGGAACGGTACCTATGTGCATGCTTATAAATGCTACTGGTGACTCAAAGCATGTGCATACAGGTCCATCTGCAATGCCTATTCTTCAATACAACGAGAGTTTGCGTTTCCCTAACCATCATCTCAATCGAGTGCAACATGCTGATAGTCTTCCAATCCAAAATGGTTATCAGAGGAAACCTGGAAGTACAATTTCAGCAGAGCCTGTTGCAGGAAGACGTGTTCATTTAAGTGAAGAGGTGAGCATAGGTGCTATGCAGCTTGGTAGACGTTGTGATCCCATTGATCCAGATGGAGGCCGTCCTTTCTGCCAAACACACGTGGTAACAGATGGGGCTGATGCAGAAAGTCAGTTCACTAATGTTAATAGCAGGCATTCAAGAGCATTTTCTGAACACAATGGTGCCTATGGGACCCCTCAAATCCTGCCAATGAAGGATCAAATGGGAATAATAACTGGAGAAGCCGATGGAAGGAAAATATCTACAAAACAGAGGCAGCAGTTGTTATGTCAGAAAATAGAGTTGGAACTGGAGAAAGAGCGACTGCGGGAATTGCTGGCTCAGCAGGAAGCCCAGCTCCTCCTAAAGCAGCAGCAGTTACACCAGTCAAGGCTGGATTATGGCAGGTGAGAACTTGGTTGCACCTTGAACTTCCCTATTGGGTGTAGGTTTACCCACTGAAATGAACTGTATAGATTTGGCAACAAACGTTTTAATTGAGATTGGCTGTGGTGCCAATTGAGAGCAATGGTTTGCAGTTCCCTTTCCTGATACCACCTCACAGGTTTGAATAAAATGGATCCTGTGCAGGAGGAACATGCAAAGTACATCGGTTTCATAAATCTCCCACCTGCGTGACATTTAGAGCGTAACTCACTCAGCACAGTTGCAATTCAGTAGAGATTAAAAGTAATTATCGGTAATTGCCAGACCAAAGCAAAATTCAAAGGCGACATAATAAATGGTAACCAGAAAGTGGTACTGCAAGGTTTAGCATAATTACACAATCAATGATAAGGTAAGGCAGAGCTGTAACCCAGTCTTCAGATCCCAGGTTGTTCATGTGGTTTCACAAAATGTAATGTTGCTCTCTTAAAAACTGAACTAGAATTGGCAACATTATTCAAATGAGTTCTCCTTGAGGTACTGTCCTTGGATTTATGTTCACTTACTCAGAAAAGATTTCACTTCACAAAATCAATTCATTTACAAAAAGATGCACTTCTGGTTCACTTCATCCATATTTTAGAAGTAAAACTGAAGCCAGCAAAGGAATGATGTATTATTTTAACCATTAGCTTTATTCTGTGAGTTCTGTGTACTCTTAAGGAAATGAAAACTGAAATATGGGATATTGTGAAACTATTTAACCTACTAGCTTGGAAGTGTGTGCCTTGCATCCTTTAATGACTTTGACTTTAACTTGTTTTCTTCCTTCCATCAGCTATCCTACTACTTCATGTTACCAGTGACCCTTACCTTCAGGTCTGTGTTAATGCTAAATCTGTAGCATGCACAACTATCTAGCTCCAGTTCATAAGAAAACCACTCCTAGTGATCCAAAATATCTCAAACCGTACTGCTATAAACATCAGAAACTGGAAATGTGAATAAAAGTTAAAAGGGTCAACTCAAAGGCAAAAGTAAAGATGAAAATGAGAACTAGATGAGTGGGACAAAAGTGAGTGAAAAATGATAATGAAGAAGAGGCTAAATAGATCAAAGTTAGTAGTTGTAATAAAGGCATTGTGGAGAATAAAAAGGAAAAACAAAGGAAACCAATATTGAAATGGAAGAATGAACATGTTTAAAAATAAAAACACAGGAGGAAGAAAAATTAAACTTTTTTTAATATATAGAATAAATGCCTGAATCAATGGGTAAATGCGAAGGTATATAATGAGAGCTTCAGAAAAAATAACAAGGGAGGGCGATCCTAGTCAAAATAATCTGATTGATCCCATTAGAGGCTGCTGCACAAAGTTTTCTGTATAAATAAACAAGAGGAATGATGAAGCATGAAACCAGGTAGTTTTGGCCCATTGAACTATTTTATCAATCATTTGCAAAGTTTTATTCATATAATCCCCACCTTTTCGTCATATTGCTTAATATCCCTTACTTTCCAAGCATTGATCTGTCTCACTCGAGACCTTCCTCTTTGACCGCGCCCTTGGTCATCCTTCTCCTCCCCACTGCCCTTGGCTCGGATGCCAAGCCAGGACTATCAAGTGCCTTGGTACGTCATTCCGATATGGAAAGTGCTATATAAATGTAAATTTGTATCGTAAAGGAAACAAAATTCAAATACTCTATTAAGACTCTTTGTTCCTGGTATCATATGGAGAATCGTTACTAGACTTGTTTCAAGACAGTTATATTCTTCTTAAAGTGAGGCATCCATCACTGAGCACAACATTCTCGCTGAGGTCTGACCAGCTTACAGTTATAGTAGTAGTTCCTTGACTTTATATTCTGTATATCCTGTGATAAGTCCCAGCATCCCATTAGCCTTTTTGATTGCTTTCAGCATCTACAAACTAGCTTTTCATGATTTATGTATCTGAATCCCATACTCATCTAACACCCCTACTGCTTTCCTATTTGGAAAGAATCCCATCTGCTATTACATTTAAAATGTATTGCAACATTACACTTTTCAACACTGAACTGCATCTGCCATTGTTCCGCCCACTCGCTTAATCTGCATATGCCCCTTTGCAAACATCTCTTCACATTTAATTGAAGCTCCCATTTCTCTCGGTTTCTTTTTATTCCATACACTTTAACTATTAACTAATAATGCCATGTATGGAGTCTTATCTAACTGACATCCATTAAATCTCCTGATTTCCTCTTTCAGATTTGTGTTGGCACGTGGTGCATTTCTAGTATGTTGATGCACATTTGCAGTTTTTCTTCTTTAATTAAACTTCTGCACTGAGAAAGTCTGTTAGAATATTTCGGAATTTGGGTGTTTCTAAATGTATTATTTTAGGTGCTACAATGTGGAAGGCTAAGAGTTGTCCGGCTCACAAGTTGAAAGATTCGGAGATAAAGGATGCATGGATACAGCTTTAGAGTATCAAAGATAAATTGCACACGGTCATTGGAACTAACATGGTCAATGTTGACTTTGCAAATATTTTATATTCTCAGTGTTACTGAATATAGGGCTCTGAAGTTGAATTGCTTGTAGAGGAATGGTCATTAGCCTGGCATGTTGCTGCTGCTTCAACTGTGTTAATTTAACTCCCTCACATTTTCTGACTGAGTAACTCCTACGGGCTATTCCCCAATGAGGTCATCATGCTATAGTGTTTAAAGAAAAATGAAAAAGAAATGCACAATAAGATGAACACAAGAGTGTGAAAGTCAATGAAAGTTCACTTGGACTTGCTAATTTTCTGCTTTTTTCTCGTGACTCCTGGAGATAGTGATTCCCATTGGGGCACAGTTCCATAGATTCTAACAGCCCTCTGTTACTTTATCAAGTAGTCAGTCTTAATATATGAGCCTAGATGGTGTCAGTAAGCATTTTGACTGTGGAGTACTGATGCATCCAAGTCACATCCAGTTTTCTCCCAATGTTCACACATATGCACTTTCCAGCAGATGCTGCTGGATGGCAACTGAGAGGGAGAACAGGATGTTTTTTTTCTTTCTTCCTCCCTTGGCCCTGTTAGACCTAGAATTACTGAGCCCGATTGTTGTGCTCCATTACTGTCTTTAAGTATTATATTAGAAATACAGAAATGCCAAGGTGATTGAAACTGGCCTCTTCCTTGTAAATACAATTTAAAACTGCATCACATAGTGCATTTGGTCACTGATCTGTCTTGGGTGAGGATGGGTGGGGGAGAGACAGAGACTGACTTTAATTTTAAAATGGAATCTAATTGGGACGATAGCTCCTAAAAGTACAGTCCCTTCATGCCCTAAATGGATTGTTTTCTGTTTGTACTCTAGGGGTTGGTGAGTGCATTAAAAATTGTACGCTCTCCCATTTCTTTATGCATGTTACAACACTTTCATGTAATATGTATTCCAGGTTAAGACTTCATTGTGACGTTTCACTGATAACTAAAGATAGCTTTGGAAAGAATTGAAGTCTGATTTGGCTGGTGGCATTCATGCAGAAACATAAAAGAAAATTAGCTGTATATGAAGGGAAGAAGTCAAAGTGCATATTTAGCTTGCCTTACATCTCCTCATAAAGCAGTGCAGGCTCATTCGTAGGCCTTTATACCTTCAGCAATCGGGTTTGAATATTCTGAGCATTTTTACATAATTGGTACGATCAAGTAGGAGCTTTGAAGCTTGAATATGCTCGAGGACTTGTTTTCCAGCTTCTGTTTGCTATCCCGGATAGAAGTTGCCAATACACAAACATGTTATAAGATCTACACAAATTTAATGAAAGCTTCATCTTTTTTCATAGGTTCATGGGTTGTTTGCCTGCATTTGAAAACACAATTCACAATGAGGATCCAACAAGACCAGGAAAATTTTCACAGAATGCAGCCCAACATACTGAAAGGTCAGATTATCTCTTATTGTGTTTTGTTCAGTGCAGCTCACTTGGTAGCATTCTCGCCTTTAATTCAGAAGGTTGTGGTTCAAGCCACATGTCACTATTTGAGTCAGTAGTCGTACAGCTGTACAGATGGCTGATGCTGCAGTACCTGGGGTATTAGACAAAGCTTGCCTGTATAAATTCTACCTATATGTGAATTGTAGCAAAAATTGTATAATAAATAAGCTCCTTAATTCGGTGGAAAGTGCCCACCTTTTTGGCTTTGCTTCTATAAGCTTGTTGACACATGGGGCTAAGATACCTACATTTTTATCTGTACCGTTGTGACTGGCAAGATTGTTGATCCAATCCTAGATACTGCACTATATTGACAGCTTAGGAAACAATTTAACTTGGTACACAGCACAGAGGTCTGAGTGGTTAGCTATGCCTCTTCAATGTTGCAAAACGTTGCAGGATCACCAGTTTATTCCAATCACTTTCATACACCTGCTCATGAGTCTGCGAAGCCAACATGCTGCCGTGTGAGTGCACTGACTAAATGAGAAGATTTAAGATTAGTTAGTGCCTATGAAGTTATTACAAGTCAGTAAATTGGATCTCCAATATAGGTCCCTTCAGGAACATTTAATAATATTTTTGGTACCCAGTATTAAAAATATGTTTTGATCATTTAATTTCAGTTATTTCATCGACCAGTTATGTAAGATGATTCAGGCATGCTAAAGTTAGGCTAGAAAAATTTTGATGGGAGGCTACATTCTACAGAGACTGCATTCCCTTTTGTTGTTTAATGATCAACCTTAATTAACATGCAAATTTGAAATAATTAGAACACATTAAAGGTGTTTAACTGCATCTCCCTAAAGAAATATTCAAATTACACTAAATGTGGCTTTAAATTATTTAATCCTCCAAGGTCTATGGTAGCAGTTTTCTATTACATTTTTTAAAAAGTGACAAGGTTAAACTTTTTTTGTTTAATAAGTAATAATCGTTATTAAAGAATGATTGTGTATTCCAGAGATGATGATTCTTTGCAATGGATTCCATTAAAACTTAATTGTTTAAATTTTTAAAAAGAAAGTGTCCTATTTCAACAGCTTCTGTGTAGACTAATGTTCCACACATTATCTATTAAGTTGAATCTGCATAAATAATGCATGTCAAAAAAAATCCTCACTTCATTGTAGACTCAGATCTTCAATCTTCAAAAACTGAAGATCAAGAAGATGGGTTGTATCAATTTGTTTAGATGTACGAAGTAACATCTTTTTGTCATTTTAATTTTCTCTGAATGTGGGAGGGAGAAGATAATTTTTTTTAGGAAAAGTAGACTTTGGATATAAAATGGTCATTACAATGTAAGGAGTAAAACATATTTCAATCTGATTTTTATTTGCTGTACTCTATGACCACGGCAAACATTGAATGCAGTTGCATTTTGATATTTAATTATATAGAGGAACAAAAAGAGGAATTAATTCCTCGCTTAAATCAGTGTACCACAGGAAACCATATGTACACTGCCCACTCCATAGCTCTTTCAAAGCTGCAAAAAGACCCCAAATGGCCAATTTTGCTGTTCTGCAATCTGCTGCAGAAATGCTGCATTGAAAGTTCTGGAGAGAGCAAAGACAGTGTGATAAGCATCTTTCGGGTTTGTACTGCATGGATGTGAATCAAGTCGCTCCTAAAACTACCTCCTCCAGAGAGTGTCAGGCAGTGAAACCCCGTTTATAATGCACATTTGATGACAGATGGCTGCCAAAATCCCTGCCAGTTGCTTATAAGTATCTCATAACTAAGGCAAGCTATTCAAGTGCAGGATTTTTTTTTAGACATTAGTTTCAGAGACATCGATTTCTATGAGGTAGACCGTATACCTGAAACAGTGTTTTTTTTATCAGATTTTCTTTTAGAGGAGAGGGGGCTCTACTTGTTAAAACAGATTACATCTTGCACTTTCTGTAGATGATCAAAGTGAGCAGCAATAATAAAAACTATGTTTGTGTGCCTATAATAGATATAAAAAAACTTAAAATCCAAAGCTTATTGCGTTACTGTCAGTGGACGAATCAAACAGATGGGGAGAATTTTAATCTTGGGAGCCATTAAGCTGGGTAAGGCAACTAAAATGCATTGGGCTGGAGTACAGGAGCCTCACACAGGACCTTCTAGACAGCTTTACATTTTTTTTATTTAAAACGCATGAAAAAAAACCCTGGAGCTTCCTAGTAGTGTTCCGCGCTGCAGAGATATCATTAAAATGCCGCTCGGCATCTGTTAAACACAATGAACAAGAGAAGGGGTGCCAGCAGAATCTGGAATGGAGCAAGCAATCTTGGAGCCATAAATCCCAAAGTTACTATTTTATGCTCTGCTTGAAGCAGCACACACTGTTTACTACTCAAACCAGATCCTGTTTTTACACTAAAGGTTTGATACCTATAATTGTTTTGTTTTTTAAAATCAATATTTTAACTTAACCATAAACCTCACAAATATTCAAATAAATTCCACTTTTTTTAAAAGCCCTTTTATGTAGAATAAATTCTGGTTACTTCATAAAGTTTACTGACTGTCATAATTGTTCTCTGCAAATTAAGTATGTCCTGTGAATTATGGAAATATAATGCATATTTTACAAGGAATAACTGAAGAGAAAGGCATAACAAATGCTTAGGAAATTCTGTTAGATGAACAAATGAAGCAGAAGATTAAAAACCATTAATTAAAAATGGAATGGAAGGGAGCATTTCTATGGTGGGAAGGAAGCCTGGCTTGATTTACGTAGGAATGGAGGAGACTTTTCTGATGTTCGGTAGCGGAAATTGGCCCCAAAGGTAGGTTTCTGTGGTGTGAAGGTGTAAACCATGATGAGTTGAATAGCCTTTTTCTCATTCAATGCTTACTGTATCATTTATCAAACCAATTAATAACTAAAGCACACAAGTATATATATATATACACACAAACAACAAATTGGATTTATATAGATTAGCAACTGAGGAAATGAAACCAACCTAAGCAGCAACATCAGCTGTTAGTACTTTCTTAGGTTCTGGTCTCCATTATATAAGATTATTTTGTGGTTCTACTTTCATGTTTCAAATAGAAACCACTAGTTTACATGTTGACTACTAGCAAACTCGTAAAAGCAGGAAGTATTTCCAAGCTTCCTTTCCAAAATGATGGAAAGAGTCGTTGCTTCCCAGCTTCATTCCGTCAATTCCTCCCCGCCTACAGGGATGCTCTGGTCAAAGGCATCAACAAAGTTTTCTTTATTTGCAGCCTGGAGTCCCTATACCTTATTGTCCTCACTTATCTATTTGCTGCTTAATGTAATAATATAATAAATATAATATTTACCTTTGATAGGTGAGTTTGCGTCCATTTTGACCCCATTCTTTGGAATATAGAGGAACTATTTTGTCTAGACAGAGAAACAGTTTGTCTGATGAGGGAATGTAGAACAAGGGGGCATAATTGTAAGATTAAGACAGTCAGAAGTGAAACCAGGAAGAGTTTTTTCCCACAATGGTTGTGAACATCAAGAATTCTCTCCCCCAGAAAGCTGTGGATGCTGAGTCAATTGGAATTTTCAAATCTGAGGTCAGTAGATATTTGTTAGGTAAGGGTATCAAGGGATATGGAGAAAGGGTAGATAAATAGAGTTGAGGTACAGATCAGCCATGATCTAACAGAATGGTGGAACAGGCTCAATGGTCTGAATAGCTTACTCCTGTTTCTATGTTCCTAATTTCATTCTTGGAATCCCTCCATCTTGCCCCTCCCTCTCCGCTTAAGTTACCTTACAACTATTGGTTTGAGTGTTTCTCGGATAGACACAGAAGAAAATTTCTCCCTTAATTGGATTAGCTTTAAGAATCATGGGTTCTCCATCGTGGAGCTTTGGTTTTCTCTGCAATTTACATCTTTTCTGGTTTAATTTGTTAGACACACACACAGATGTTAGTTATGTAACGTACTGCTTGAAATGATGCTTCCTTTGTTTTGATGCTTAAGCAACCTCACAGAAAAAAAAATAAGCAAAGCTTTAGTTGCTAGCATTTGGAAAATTTACCCCATCAGCGCTACAAGATCCGATCTCTTGCCAACGGTGTATGATAATCCTTGCATTTGTTCAGAAGTCTCAAAGTGCTTCACAGGATTTTACTGCGAAGTGCAGTGACAATTTGAAGGCAAGCGTGGCTGCCAATTTGTGCACATTAATATCCCCAAAATGCCTGCAAAAGTGAATGACCAATTTTTTTTTCTCTGGAGTATTGTTGGCCAGGAATATACAAGGAGGAGTGAGGCTCTCCTGTTGATTAGAGGGTGGGTGGAAGCTGGAGGGGATGTATTTAAGCTTTTTGTGTACAGATTCCCAAGTAAATTTGACCTTTCTGCAGGGGCTATAGGGACCAATGCTCACTTATTTTCTGCCTCCTTCTGAAACCTTGTAGAACACAAAAATTATTTAATCTTTTTTTCACAGTCAATTGCACTTGCCAGCAGGTCTGATGGATCTAATAAAATAATTATCAGGATGTCTGACATTGCATATTAGTTTGCTTATTCTTCAACCAATACTGAATTGCATTTAAAAAAAATCCTAATAATATTTTAAGGGAAAATAATTGCTTAATTAAAATGCATTCTTTACTGATTCTTACAATGCAAAATAAAAGTGTGGATTGATTCACACTTTTGAATCAGAAATAGCATGAGGAATGCATACAATCTACCCAGTATGCAGACTTAGCCGACCGCTCTTACTTCTAGATGGATCTCTGAATACATTTTCAGGTTAGGAAACATTTTTATTAAAGGCTTACCGCTGTGTACAGCTTGCAGAGGTTGGGGTTTAAAATCAAATTTATTCTCCAACAGATGGCAGTTAGTCTAACGTTTTGGAAATAACTGAGAATCTAGCCCCTAAATGAATTTGTTTTCTCCTCATCCCTCTAGCAAGAGCTCCAAAAATTACCATGCTCTGTATTTTCAAATAACAGAACTGGCAGCGATCCGGAAAGAATAGCTTGCTTGACCAGCGGCACTAACTCAGTGTGCAGCAAACTCTGCCCATACAACCTTTGTGTACATGTATGTATCTATGTGTGTTTGGTTTTTGCAGTGCCTGAGGCAATCTCCAGTCAAGGAAATAATTCTATTTTTTTAAAAAAAATCTTGGGAAATGAGTTTTGCACACTGAATGTTGTAACCAAGAGTTCTGGCGGTACATTTTGCAAAATCCTGTGTAGAATAATTTCTAATACTGTACTTGGAATTTTTATGCCACTTCACCAATAGCTGATAGAGGGATTGTAGATGCTGCCCTGTGTGAGGGGCGCTATGTAAATGCAAGTTGTTGTTAAAAGTACATGGGGGAAGGGGGAGAAGCAAACTGGGGTTGCCACTGCTAATTTGTCATGGGCTCCTCATGGTTGATTCACTGAAATCTGGAATTTACAAGAAGAATATACTGTATTAGTTTGCTTTTTTTTCTATTTTGAATACCATTATATAGTGTAGTAAGAAATGTGTGGTTATTTTACTTTCCTCAAAGGCTAGGTCAAGTGCTTTAAGATGTCTCAACGTGATAAGGCACTATATAAATGCAAGGGTTATTATTACTAATTTATTGAGGCATTTTGTTGTTGAAAATTAACTTTAAAATAAAGGCATCTTTATATTTATTTCAGCATTATAAATTCAACCTAAGTTTTACTCCTTTGTATATTCTGCTTTCACAATTTGCAGAATCAATCTTGTACCGTTTATGTGTTAGAAAATGTCTGTGTGATTGGAGGTCATGAAGTAAAATTGTTCCTGAAAGGGATATAAGTTAATGATAATCTGAAGAGGCAAATTGACAAAGTTGGTGTAGTATTGCGGTCTGTTACTCAACATTCTGGAGTGAAAAGTACATTCATCTGCGACAATAGCTGGGGATTAAAAGAGGCAATTTTGTGAAAGTTTGAGACCAGAAATTTATGAGTGATGATGTTATAAGTAAATTAAGAAGCCTCCTCAGGAATGAAATAATCCCTGTAATTTACCACGAGTGCTGCAGTAGTCCTTTATTATTTATTCATGACTAAGTTTTAAAAGGATATTAAATAGTTTTGAAAGGCCAAAATTTCCATATGGCATGTACTGCTCCATTGATTGTGCATGCTCGGTGGTTTTTGTATTTTAAATGTGGGAAGTATCATAAATTTGTGAAATATCTATAATCATTTTCACCACTGTGAAATAACACTTCCCTGCACAACAAATAAAACTGTCATGAGCATTGATTAAAACATTTTGGATTTTTTTTCAAATTAGCCATTTTCAAAGCTATTTTACTTTTTAGGACCAAATAGTTATGGGCACATCATTCTCCATCGCACACTGCTATTTTTACAATATTCATATTGGGTAACAAATTGGTTTGAAGTTTCTGTCCCTTGATACCATACTATTAAGTAAAATAAATTTGTACCATTTAAAATTACATGAGAGCTAGTCCCTTGGGTGCACTGAAACGTACCTTCAAGCTGGTTCAACAACAATAAATGGCGTTTATATAGAGCATTTCACGTAGGATGGCATCTCGGAATGCTTCGGAGGAAAGGTTTTAGATACCTTGCAAGGGAGGAAGGGATGGGTTGATGCCCATAGATGTGCTCAGATATCTTTGGGTGAGACTTAAGGACTGACAGAGAGTGGGGGAGATCTAGGGGTAGCTGCTGGAAAGATTAAATCAAATGCGCGAAAGGCCTTATTCATCATCGTGTAATAAGATTGCACACGGTTTTTATTATGAGTCAGTACAAATTGTTCATTGATTAATTAATAATTAAATCTTTCTCTCAATTAGCAACTTAATATATCTAACATGGATTCCTTTTATAAATAGTTGTTGAGTGCTTCAAGTAATTTGAGCTGATAAAGCAGCAATCCAAATTCTAAAGAAGTGAGATAGATTGACTGAATGGCCTTTTTCTCAAATTGTTACCGGGCAACTATTTGGTCAGATGAAGCTGTTTATTAATAATAATATCATTGTATTTGATATCGTGCATTTTACGTCATAAATTTCTGGTCTCAAACTTTCATAAAATTGCCCCCTTTAATCCCCTGCTATTTGTTGCAGATAAATGCCGTTTCACACCAGAATGTTGAGTAAGAGACCGCAACACTACACCAACTTTGTCAATTTGCCTTTCCAGATTATCATAAACTTTCATTCCTTTCAGGAACAAGTACTTGTCAGGTTTTACTGAGCACTCTTGAGGCATTACTCAGGAGTGCTCAGTAAAAGAACACTATAAATTAAAGTTGTTGTACTATAAAGAAATTGTATTTTATAAGCAAATTTAGCAGACAATTTGTTCACGACAATGCTCCAAACTGCTCTTGTGTAGTTTTTTTTTAGTAATATTGTAACTGGAACACACTGACAGCTACTGGATTCCGATATGTCGAAGGAATCGTTTTGGAATGATTTTGAGGATAGCTTAGATGGGCCAATAGATAAGTTATTTTATGCAATGCAGGCTTCGATAAAGGTAATAATAAATAAATAATAAATATTGAATGGAAAAACATAATCATTGCGTTTGGTATGACAACTTCCTGAGCTAAAATGACAGGATCGTGAATCTGACATTGATGAAAACTAATATGAAAAATTGATCTTATCTGCTGTAGCCTATTCTTCTGTAATATATAAGCATAAGTTATTTCTTCTTACCCTATCAGCATATCTTCTATCTGTATTATATCTATTGCTAACATAATTGCTTTAGATGCTATTTGCTGCTATCTGCGATTTGCTTTTCTAATGGCTTCTTTCCTCTTTAATGCCACTTTTAGTTAATGTCAACTGACTCCCACTTCTCTCTATTCTTTATTTTCCTGTTGTTTAAAATATTTTGAGCTTTCATGATAGTTTTGATCTCTCTATTTAGTCACTTTGGTCTTGGTTCTACTATCTTTTTTGATATAAAGGAATATATTTTTTTCCACATAATTTGAAAATGGTTCTAAAGTAATTCCTTTTTTTCAGTTTTATATTCTAGTTCTGCTGCTCTGATAATTCTCCTCAAAGCTCTTCTTATCTCTTGCTCTAAAATGTAATGATGCAACTAAAATTCATGCAATGCTAATACAGTATTTCATTCTGCTGTGCGCAATTGGCTGCCGCGTTTCACCAAGAAAATACAGTCAATTCAATTTAGAGTCTATTCTGTGAAGTGCTTTGAGACATCTCAACGACGTGGTAAGGCGTCATATCAAATGCAAGGATTATATACTCTCTATAAATTTAGATTTCCCTTTTAAGAGATTATTTATACAAGATACATCTAGAAAATTAAAACAATATTGTATGCAGCATGTTTTAATGGTTACCCTTATAGCAATGGCTTGCACAGCAATACCTGTTTTATTAATGCGTACAAATCCCATTTACGTTTAACTGTTGTTGTCAGTGTCTAATAGTTGGTATTCACTAAGCCATATTTCTCTTGATATTTCTACCACTACATTTTTTTTAGATTATTAAAAGGCCCCTGGAACTAAATATAATTAATTGTAATTGCATATTATCCATAATATTCTATGAATGAATGTAAAAAAAAGTAGCATTTGTAATGTTCAGAAAAAAATATTTTGAGTTGCCAGTGCTTGAATCTTTGAAAGGATAATACTAATAATAATCTATTTGATATAGCGTCTTATCACGTAGTTGAGATGCCTCAAAGCACTTCACAGAATATATTGTAAAGTGTGTTTTGTGGGCACAACAAAATATCAAATTGTGTAATGGCTTTTTTTTCCCCACTATTCTCTTACCTAACTGTAACATGTATTAGATTTTTTTTAAATTGTTTTTGAAAGTAGAACATTATATAATATTAAGTTGCTCTTGAAAGTAGAAAAATTCATCAGTTTTAATGCCAACAAAAATTGCGTTCCTGTGATCCTACCTTTGATCCCACTCACTCTTAGGGATGATGTTACAGTCTGAGAATTTGATGACTCTTCAATCTCCTATTACAGGTACTTTGATTTGAGAAAAGACCCTTTCCATGGTTGTTTACAAAGTGAGGCCAAATATGTGGAGACACCAACTACAGAACCACAGGAACGATTAAGTGCTGGGAAGAACCTGGTAGAGTTGTTTGATCCAAAATTGGATACTGTTAGGGGCACAGCTTCCTTGCATACAGTTGGAGATCTAAATAGACAACAAACAACAGGTAATTATTTTATCTTATTTTCCTTCCATTCAACCTATGTCCTTTGTAATAACAGTTGAGTATCGTCATTTTAAACCCTTTGAATTCTCATGAATATAAATTAAGTCATAAAAAATGATCCCCTGTTTTGAAAGTCAGCCTGGAATAGATTTTTGTTAGCTAGATAAGTGAATGGTTCTGGGTTTGAGAATTCGAATGATATTTAAGGATATAAACGAAGGTTTTAGTATTTTTAGACTGCTTGATATGTGTAATGTATCCTACTCGGTCTCAGCTGTTTATTCTAACGAGAAAAGTTCTGCTTAAATAATTTCTGATTCACAAAGACAAACAAAACAGCACTCCTGAATATTTTTCCATCTATTCTACTAGCTGTCCTTAAAAAAAAGACTGCTCCTTTTCCATAACCCCAACAGCAGTGGACTCTGTGTCCTATTGAGTATTTGATGATTTGTCTGCATTAATCCTTCAATTATGCTTATGTTTATTAATATAGATTTTATGTATGTATATGCATATAAGAGAGAGAAATAATGCTCTTTTTTTAAAGAATTTATCAACAAAGTATTAACACCTTTTGCACAGCAATTATTCTTTTCTGGAGAACATAATTCTTCTATCTCCAATCTTACTAGAGGTTTTTTTACTTTGACCTGGTTGTTACATAGAACTATAGTTTTGTGAAGCACTGGAAAGATCATTAAAGTGAAAAATAACTATTCTAAAAAATAATCTTCTCCTGGTCTATCTCATAATTCAATTGAATTCTTCAACAAATAGTTATCTAATTCCTACTTGTATTTGACATAATAAGCATCCACCAATCTCTGGATAATCTATTCCACATATTTATATTCTGTGTAAAATAATACATCTGAATTGTCTGTTCGCCTTTCCTTTTCTGAGCTTGATTCTGTAAATCACCTTGTTCTAGATTTGTTTACCATGTTAAACACCCTATCAGGGTTCAAACTTATATATTTTCAGGTTCTTGAATAAGAGAAACTCCTGATAACTCAACCCTGACTGCATTTATTTATGTATTTATATGTATATATATTTTATATATGCCTAACTTGCAACTCTTTTGTCTACTCAACTACTTCATGGCTCTTTATGTAGGGACTCCATTGACTTCTAAAAAAGATGTGGCTACCTCTCCTGTGCTAATATTCAAAAAGGTTAACGATGCAACGGGGTCAACTTCGCCGATATGGTCTGAAACATCAAGGTAGGTTATTTTAAGCTTTTTGTACTAGGGCCACAATGTGTTCCCTTCAATAGGTAAGCAACTGCTTTACTGAAATTACCGCATTACGTCTGATGTAAGGTGGAGTGTAAATTATTTAAATTCTAGATGACGAAGAAGCTACAGAAGAACTCCAATGAGATGTTTCATTATAATACATTAGTAACTGGCTAAAGGGAAGAAGAGAGGATGGTTGTTATAGGGGAATTTGGGTCGAAATAGGGGAGGTTTTGAGTGAGTTGCCTTAAAGGTCGGGATCTTGTTCTGTCACAAAATAGGTTCTATGGTAGCTGCACACACACAGTATGACTGTTTCAGTAAAACATATTTTTATATTTGCAACCAGAATATTTCACTGGGATTGAATTCTGAGAATTAAACCAATATTTATCCAACCAATTAATTCAATGTCTGGTGAAAAAATATCTAGCTGTTAATATGTGCTAGCATTTTAGGGACATCAGAAACAACTGGAAACACTCTTCCTGTATCATAGAATTTTGGCCAAAGCCTATTTTGGCCTCCTGAAGGCCATGTCACCAGTTTCCATTCAACTTGTTATGTTGAACAGCTAGGTTTTCTCTATGTAGGATTGTCTGATGTTTTGTGCTTCAAACTGACATGAACTGAATGTCACAGGTGTTTGTTCTCTTTCTTTAAGGTAAATTTCAATATATTGATGAACTAATGCCACTGGAGGTAAAATAAAAACTGATTTGAAGCTTTAGATGGAATAAAATCTTTTACACATAAAATAAACTGTCAATTCACTTTACGGTATATTCTGTGAAGCACTTTGAGACGACACAACTACGTGATAAAGCACTGTATCAAATGCAGGTATTATTATTCAAGTTCAAGAAGAAAGTTTTACTAAGGTCAAAGTGGAAATCATCATTTTACTAAAATGAATATTCCCATGATATGTACTGCAACACACATACCGTAATGGTGACCATTACAATGTCTAATAAATCTTAAAGAAATTGTGATTTTTTTAAAGATAATAGGGTAGTTATCATGACTTTTTGGTCACCCTGTACTTGTCTGTGTTGCTTTTTCATCTATTATCTGTCAATCATATTTATACTGCTTTCCTAACCATGAGGGAGGCAAAGAAAAGAGACTGTGTGCACTGCAGCATCTGTTGGCCTGTGGGCATGAAAGTTTGTGATTCTAATGTTACATTCACTACATCCCTTGGATAAATAATTACAATAGTTTGATGTTGTGCCAAATCTTGACTTTCAAATATTTTTATGACTTTCAGGGAAACTTCCCCTGTTATTGGTCATAATTGCTGCACGTCTCTTAATCACAATTGTGTACCTTTCTTGTCAAATTGCAAAGGAAGATCCAAAATAACATTATCTTAAGTGTTGGAATATGATTGTCAGATTCAAGAACGGTGTTGTCTTCCTAGCATTTTAGAGGCATTGAAAACAACTGGCATTCTTCTCAGTGGACCATAGATTCCTAGCCAAAGCTTATGTTAGCATCCTGAGGGGGATAGCACCAGCCAACTTATATTATTACTGATTTCCAGGAAAAATAAAAATTGGATATTTAATTTTTTTTGATATATTGCCAATTCCAAATCTCCTCCATAATACAACTAGTTGCAAATTGCTACTATGACTGATAAGCAATACAAGAAAAAGCAACACAGAAACGTATATGGGTGCAGTAGATTGATTTTCATTAGTTAGTTCAGACAAAACTTTTATGGCAAAATTATGCTTTTTTGACCCTCACAAAAGATGGATCCCACATGAAATTAATAAATCTCCAGAAGAACATGGAAGCATAAGCACCTTCTTTACTGAAGCACTTGGCAGATTGGAGTCCAGGGAAGTTTGGATGAGTTTCCAGTACCTCCATTAGTTTAGAAGGTTGTGGGTTCAAGTCTCACATTGGAACTTGGTTTATACCCAAGGTTAATATGTCCTTTAAATGAAATGTTGAACTGAGGCAGCATATCAATGATAATAATAATAATCCTTGCATTTGATATAGCGTTTTTCACGTCTTCTAGACATCTCAAAGCACTTCACAGACTGAAAAGTGAATTGACTGTATATTTGTGGGCAAAATACGGCAACCAATTGTGCACAGCAGTGTCCCACAAACAGTCGTGGATTGACGTGACCAATTTTTTTTTCTTTGAAGGATTTATGATGCTATTGAAGAAGGGAGTTTTTTCCCCAGTGTTCTGGTTAAATCCTCAAGATGAATCTATTATTTACATCATGGCTGTTTATGGGATCTTGCTGTTTGCACATTGCTGCTGCATTAACCAAAAAAAGGCACTAGACTGGACAATAACTGTAAAGTGCTTTGAATGCTTAACATGCAACCTGCTTTCTTTCTATAAGAAATTTGGAGAGAGCGATGTCCCTGAACAGTTAGTACAATTTAGTAATAAATTGGTAAAATGCTGAAAAAACAAGATGCAATCTGGCAACTCAGTTGAGCTCTGGCCAACCTTCTGAATAGAAGTGCTGATGAATGGAACAATCTTGGCATTCCTGAAATTTCTCTTGATCAGAAACACGTGAGAATTAAAATTTGGGGTGATTTAGGGAAAGAACTAAAAATAAATACTTACAGATATTGTAAGGGAAAGCTATGTGATGCCAGAAAATATTTTCTAAAGGGGCAGAAATCCTTCGCAGTAGTTATTGTATTGTATTATCCAGTACTGGATTGGACTGACCTAGTCGCATTATATTTTATATCCAAATTTTATATCCAAGTATCTATTTGGGATTACAACAACAATGTAGTGCCCTTCACATGGGTAGCTTCTTGGAGTACTTAACAGTAGTGAGGTTTGAGGCAGAGCTAGAAAGGCACGGTCAAAGGAAATTCTTCAGGTATGATCTCAAGATGGGCAAGGAGGAGGCAGGGAGTTCTAGAGATTCAGGACATAGTGGCTGGTAGCACGGCTGCCGAACGGTGGAGTGGCAGGGGTCGAGGGACGCTTAGAAGGCCTGAGCCAGCTCAGTGAAGGATGCAGGTAGAGGAGTGGACCATAGGAATTGCTAGACGAAAAAAAGACCAATGTCCATCTAGTTTGCCTTCTACCATCAATTGGCTGCCACATTTCGTCCATAAAATACACAGTCCACTTTGCAGTATATTCTGTAAAGTGCTTTGAGACGTCTCAATAACGAGATAAGGCGCTATATCGAATACAAGGATTATAATAATAATCCTTGCACTTATTATAGCGCCTTATCATGTCTTTTCGAGACATCTCAAAGTACTTCACAGAATATACTGTAAAGTGAATTGAGTGTATATTTTGTGCGTGAAACGTTGCAACCAAATTGCGCACAGCAGTGTCCCACAAACAGTCATGGATTGAGTGACCAAATTATTATTATTATTTATTTATTTTTTGAAGGGATTATTACCCCCAGAGAAGCGATCCGATGATTGACTAACAACCGGGTTTCTACTTACTGCTAGGTAAACAGGGGTGTGGAGTAAGGAAACTTGCCCAACGTTTAGCCCTGCCGGGAATTGAACCCAGGTCCTCTCGCTTGCGAGCCGAGTGCTCTAACCACTAAGCTACAGGACTCCAAATTAAAATTATTATTATACTGATAGTTGCATGCTACAATAATGGAGATCAAAAGGGTGAAGAGATGAGTGTGAATCAAACGTTTTATTTGCTCTTTTTTATGCAGTTATTAAATTAGTTATTTATTAGTATAGCTGTTCCACTGCTTCCTTTATAACCTTATTACTGCAACTTTGAAGTTTGCAGTCTTGGTTATCTAGGACATTTACCATTGCCAACAACTAAAAGTCAATATAATTGCTTGATATAAATTAAATTATCACAGATATTTCTCCTAATATATCCAGCACAGTAGCTGCTTTGATGCAATAATATCCTCAGAATAACTATGCAAAACATTAAAACTATGAAAACAAGATTGTAAAATTGAGCATGATTGGATTTCACTTGTTTGTGCCAATGTCATCCTGTTGCACTGAAACATTTTAATGAAGAAAATGACTATGAACTGGTCAAATGGAAATTACAATGAGTCTGCCTTTCAAATCTCTGTTGCAAATAGAGTTAGGGTTAGACTATGATATATGTTCTTTTGAATACTGTAGTTAATTGTGAGTCTGGGATTTGCTTATCTATAATTGTCGTTGTGGACTCTCTCGCTCCCAGGCACTGTAAATGGTAGTCAGTACTGCGGACCTTGCTGGTTATAGAGAAGCATACTTAACAATTCATAGTTTAGGATTATATTTGGCAATTCTACACCATTTAATATGAATAACGTGTTATGATAACTGCTGCTGCGATGACTGCCTAAAACCATATATGTTTTTAAATCAGATACTCCTCTGCCATGTTTACACATTGTGTTTTAATATCGGTAAACAGTAAGGAACTTGCATCCTCGATGGTTGTTGTCTCGAACCTTGCTGGAAGCAAGAAAAGCTGGGCTTTAATTGGACTTGAATAGTGTTTAATCTTTAAAAGCACATTGTCGAGCAATATAATTGGGATTGCTCCAAGTCATCCAGGAGGTGCTCTTTGGAGAACAAGGATTACAATGCAATCCTTGTAACAAGCCTTTCTTGCTAGGAGTTGGTTGCTTTCTCCATTTCGCAGTAAGGGCCTGCTTTCTTTATTTAAGACTTTCTCACTTCAAATGCAGAAAATGGAACACAAAATGCTGATATTTGCATACATTTGTTGTTTTATTTATTAGAAAGACTCTTAAACAGCAATACCTCATGATACACTGACAATGCGTATATGAATAATGTATTAAGCCTGCAGTTGCGATGTAATTTGCAGAAGACAGTGACAGAATGTTGAATGCATCCAGAATGTTGTATTTATTGATTTAGTGGAAAGCATTAAAGGTTCTGTATTTGGGACCATGCAAAATTAATGTAACTGCCTTCAATTTTAGTGGGATGGCGTGGAAGTATAGATTTACAAT